TGGCAGGTCAAAGGGAAAAAGGAAGGTGTCAAGAAACTTTGGTAAAAGTGGCAATATGTATTTTGTATCTTGTCTGAAATTCACGCTTTTCCTTCATAAAGGCGGTAAGCCTCTGAGGAAGAGCTGGACCACTTGAGTCCAATATGAATCTCAAGGGACTCATTTGATTCAGTGATATTGGCCTCTGCGAACTTCATGGCTGTCATCTAGGACAATTTTTGGTGAAAACCAGCAAACAGTAAGATATAGAGAACCAACTTGCATAGTTGATTGAAAGTTTGCATATCCAAATCCTCACTTATTTATTTATTTATTTTTTTTAAATAGCACTCTTTACAATTGTTAGGGAGTTTGAACATTAGGCTTTTGAAACTTGTGCAAAGTGAAACAGCAGAATCTTCAACATTGAGAAGATGAGAGGCTTTTTTCCAGTTAATTAAAGAAGCAAGAATTATGGAACTTTATAGCCATTTAATTGTGTCATTAAGGTTAGAGATGGCTAGCAAGGGGTGGGGGAGAGACTGCAGTGGGCCACCCTATAGATGGAGCCTGACCTTTTAGGGCTTTGCCTACGCTCAGCCTGACTTCACTGCATTTTTGAAAGATTGTAACTAAATTGACATACTCATTAAAAAGATATTTAATAATTTAGTTGGAATGACATCACTACATATTTTCCTAATGGATTTTTATTTGATTTTATTTTTCTTATTAGAAGTGCCAAACACAGACAGGTTGCCTCTGCGTATTAAAAGATAAAAGAGACAGTTTTCCTTCTGTGTGGTCAGCAGCATGGTCAGCCATGCTTCTGGACGCATCAGCTGTCAGGTGGGGGCGGGGGGAATTCTAACACCTTTGCAATACTAACTCTAGCTGGTATTTCTAGACATTGATTTAGTCCTACGTACCAAGGCCTTTATTTTCTCTCATTTAATCCCCACACCAAACTATGAGGTAGGGCTATCTACCTGTTTTGCAAATGATGGAAACTGAGCCTCAGTGATATTAACTAACCTGTGGAAGGTCTTACGGCTAATGAACGTGATTCCACCCCGGTGCCAGACGTTTATGACCAAAAAACCATCCTGGTGGGCTACCTCCCTTCCCTGCCCTACCCTACCCAAGCTGTTAGGAAGGCCACATGCAACCATGTATGTAAACATACAAGAGCTATTGTTAACTAGGCAAAGTCTTTTCAAGGTATTCCCCCTCTCTATTTAGTTTCACGTTTTGTTTCTTTGCACTGTCGGTAAAAAAAAATATGTAAAGGAAGACAATGGTAAATAATAATTATAAAATGTGTTGGTGATGATGAAAGAATTTAAAAAGAAAGCAGAGGCATCAGCCTATTTACATCATTCTTTGATTTTCCTTTGTTTTTTGTCCGAAGAACTATGAAACTATTTACAGTATGTGTATTAGAATTTGTGGTTGGGAGGGAATTTTTTTTATAAATTTCTACCTCTTGTATCTCAGTTAATAAAGATATGTGCAAGACTTCCTATCAGTGTGTCCCTTGAAAGAAATGTTGTCTGGGAGGTTACATGTTCTCCTACTCCAATTGGCTTCATCTAAAAGGACACACATGCGTGAGAAGCAAGTTCTTTTCAGAAACTATTGGAATAAGATTTGCTAACAGAAAACTGACTGAATCTCCCTCCAGGGTGGGGCGGGGGGCGGGGGAGCAGTTGGAGTGGAGAGAAAAAAAGAGAAGGGAAGGTAAATATCATAAGAGACTTTTACATGTCCTAGGCACGATTTAGTTCCCACAAATATGAGAGATTTAAAGAATAGAAAGTGGACATAAAACAAACACTTTGGGGGATATGCATTTACTTAACAAATTTTATTGAATATGTTTTAGCTATCTTCAAAAATGCCCTCTACTAAGTCAGAAAACTTTTAAATCGACCACGTAAACTCTTGAACCCTGGCCCCCAGGACACCTTATCTCTTCTAATCAATCACCTACAAGGATTTGTTTTGAGTTTAGTTTCTACAGACTCGGCTGACCCCTTGTCCTGCCACACCCTCGCTGTGGCAGACCAGACCCCACCCTGTTTCTTCCTTTACTCTCCAGTTTGGTCCTGTTTTTACATTTTAGACTTCCTTCACTTGCTTTTTAATTTCTCTCTTTCAGAATGAAAGGCACTTTCAACAAGTGGACACACTGTTTCAATCATTAGGTTCTGCTTTTCTCCTTGGCAGCATTAATTGCTATGTTGTACTTCCTTGTTATTTCACCACTTTTCTTGAGATGTGGGAGGGTATGCACAGCATACTCTGAGAAAGACTTTTGAGGTCTCTACAAATTCTTTTTGCCTTTTCCATTAGTAGTAGAGTATATATCTGCTCATCCATATAATTTTTTTTTTTGCAGGGATACACCGATATTTATTTATTTTTTATAGTGGGTATAAACATAAAACAAATTTTGGGAAACTTCACTCACATTATTACCCCCCTTCTTTCTTTACTATCTCAAATTCCATTCTTTGTTGTCCCTCAGTACCATTTAGATGCCCTGTTTTGGGGTTCCCATGATGTATTTTTCAGTTGTAGAAATTATTTTAAAGTAACATAATCAGATTGTGTTGCTTTAAAATACATTGCTCTTCTCTAAAAGACACCTTGGGAGCAAGAACTGTCTACCTCAAAAGTTATATGCTCAGAATTTAGCACCAGAGTAAGTGGCGGGAGCTGGGCAACAGCAGATAGAAACTAACCTGTTCAGTGGAATTACTGCCTTAAATTAAGGGTCGGATCTTTGGGCTAAAGAAAATGATTACTAAAAAAGAATAAGAGCGTAAAGTGGGTTGACTTGGAGAATGTAGAAGGCTTAAAAACAAGTCTGCTAAGAGTATCTTAGCATTCCTGCCTATTTATCTGAAGGAAGTGAAGAGAATACCAGGCTTTCCAAGGTTGAACACAAAGGCACAACCAAGCACCTCCCACGTTAGAGTGTTCAGCAGACGAAGAAAGAAGCAGAGGCCTGCATTTGCTGATATCCTATTAATATAGTCCATAGCTAAAGGCCAAGTGGGGTATGAAAGCTTCTATGAGCAATCAGAGTCAATGCATTTGAACATACATGAATGAGAACCCACTCTTGCTGGAGCTGCAGATATAAGGACAACTGGGCATTGTCTCATAATAGTTCTATTTCTTCAACTGAATTACCTATTCTAGTCTCTACAGCTATCTCTATATCAGACATTCATAACACCATTCAAGGAGATCTCTAATATTTTCTTGTGGAAAACTTCAAATGGCTTACTTTCCTATAGGTATGCCATTCTTCTTTGCCCACTGTGAAGTAGGGTTCTAATAGACAATGTTAATTGGTAGTTTACTATATATATTGTATTTTTAATTTTTTATTTTAAAATATTTATTGTGCTTAGAATGTTTCTTTCCACTGAAATACATACATGAACAAGATAGAAAATATTTCATTTTCGTACAGCTTACATTTCCATGGGGGAAGATAATAAACTCCATCAGTCAGCACTTATTTTACAGTAATGCTGTGAAACAAATAACTCTAAAGCTCTAAACTGAAGGACCAAACCTTCATTGTCTCTATAACAGTTCTATGGGTCAACTGGAGGGTGACTGATCTTAAGCATGGTTTAGCTTATCTTGGATCTCATGAGTAGGTCTAGATGGAACAGCTCTTGATCTGGACATCTATGAACTGAAAGATACATTATCTGCCCCCACACATCTAATATACAATGTTGGAATAGGGACAGAATAAACAAATTAAACAGTTGCACTAAACAAGCAAGCAAACAAACAAACAAATAAAAACACGAGAAAAACATAGAAGTCACTGGTCTATAGCAATTTTGAAATTCTCTTGAGCGAATTTTTCCAGATTTCCCAACAAAAAGGTTGATATACAGGTTCAGCACCTGAAGGTTGACCATCAATTTTCTCTTTGCTCTGCTCTTGGAACTCCTTTTTTCATTTTTGGCTTTTGTGATGAATACTAAAGAATACTAGTATGCTCTTCTTGGTAGCTGAGCAGATTTCTCAGCCTGCTTCCTGCCTGTAAAATTTTGAGGGCCTTTATATATCTCAAACAGACATAGCCTTTTTAAATCTAGGCTGGTGGCAAGTTTTCCAATGCAACGCTCTCAAAAACTTTGTGGATTTTCTATGTATTTTCCAGCCAACTACATGTGCCAGATGTCTTCCCCACAATTCTTTTAGAGATATGCTTCTTTCTAGAAATAAGTGTAGGTACTTTGCATGTATTAGTCATCTGTAAGTTGTACTATCTCCTTAATCTTTTCAGAGGTCTTAACAAAGTGTGTGACAGCTACTTTATTTGGTCTTTATGGCAACACCCTAAGGTCAACCCATAGATATAGAGAAATGGTTTAATTTTTCAAACTTACAACTTTTAGAATTTCTGGGTTCTCTCATTTCTCCTCAATCCTGCTTGCAAACCAGTCAATTTTTGCCAAGTTCATCTATTTCGTGTAGTAACTTATCACATGCAGATAATAGCAGCCAACTCATACTATGAATATTTTCCCTTAAGCTTCTCAGCCCAATGCTAGAAGCACACTTAGTACATTTTTTGCCTTCTAGGTTAATACAGCCAATAGTTTTATTACTATATAATATGGGTTGTCATTGTTCCAACTTCTCATTACATTTTTTTAGAGTTTCTTTCTACTTGCTTTGTGAACACAAACCAAATGACACATATTCGAAGTTTGTTGACAGAAGAAGTCCATTTCTGGTGTAATTTCTATATTAATTAGCAATTGGCACAATTACAATGAATGAAAACTTCACACCCTAGCCCAAATCTCAGGATCTCAAACAAGTGTTTGTTTTCTTGCTAACAGTCCCATGGGTAGGCTGAAATAGCACTCCTTCAGGTCATGGGGGGACTTGGTTCTGATTAGAATAAGTTTTGTTCTAAGATCCTCTTCATTTTTCTTCAAAAAGTGACGACTTACAAAATATTTTTTCTCTTATAGGGGATATCTGGAGCACGAGGACGTAAACAAGACACACAACCTATTTAAAGTCTCTGTTCTCACACCTAGCCAACATTTTGTAAACCAGTGCAGGTCACATGGATAAGCCTAACATCCATGGGGGGTAAGGATGCGATTATTTTCTACCCATAGTTACTTGTCACGTGGATGTATAATGTAGCAGGGAAGGAATCAAAAATCGAGAACAGTTCAACTTATGCACATGAAAACAAGAAAATATCAACTAGTATACATGCTGTGAAGAAAATGCAGAGTAGTGCTTAGAGAATGCCTGAGAAGCTATTAAGCATAGTTTCTTGGAGATGACATTTACCCTGAGGCTGAAGGCCTTCCAGTTGGAACCAAGCAGTGCCAAGGACAAGTGGATTATTTGTCAAATATGGAAAAAACACTTTTGGTGAGTTCTACTGGTTGTCCTGATAACCCCTAAGTAGAGTAGCTAAATTCAACCAGTCTGGAAAGTTTTATACAAATTGAGTTGCATAATCAATTCTAAATAATTTAGCTTTTCACTGGTTCTTAATGGTGTGTTGGCCTGCTAAGTTGTTTCAATGTGAGCACTAGAAAATACTAACAATTCTTGACTAGAGAGGTACCTGCTGAAATACTGAAGAGATGAAATGGTGGCCTCTGAAACTTCTTGGTTTCTTAATAATTCCAGGTATTTCTTTCCCCCTGGGCTCCTTAGAGCTAAATGGAAATATAAAGGCGTTGGAGCCTTCTTTCCCCTCTTAGTCTCACTCTTGGGAAAAACCTCTTATTCTTTTGATCCCTAGAGGGTTTTCTAGATCTAAAATAGCACCAGCTCTGATTGTTGGTGATATCTTTTCTGGGGAAATCTTTGCTGGCGCTACAAATGGAGAGGCAACTCTGGGTATAATCCCCAGAGGGATAGCTTGCACCCTAGGGAAGTTCATGATTAATCAGGCTGTAGAATAAGTTTTGATGGGACTTACTCATGACCACAAACAGTGCAATCACATACAAAGTCAGTGATAAGTGCTTCCAAATTTCACTAAATTAGAAACACAAAGATACTGAATACTGAGATGCCTTAAGTCATGAGGTCTCCATCACTTTCTAGAAATGACCAGTGTTCTTTGCCCTATGTGAAACACTTTGTTAAAAATTGGCATTTAATTAGCCAGAGTTTCATTTGTCCTCCTCATTCTGTAGACTTCAGGAAAACAGAACTATTCTGTTTTTAAACACATGGAGAAAATAAATCAAACCCAGTGACGCGGAAAAGCTGATCTCCTTGGGCCCCAGTAACACCTGTACAGGTGTGCCCTTGCCTTCTATTGAGAATGACCAGCTACACAGGTGAAATATACATCTGTCAATCTGCACTGCAGCATCTTTTAGCAAAACAAAGGGTGCCGTGTCCAGATGAATCTGAATATGCTGGCGGCAGACCTCAGACACAACGATGTGGGTTTTCAGGAGAAATCAACGTGACAGCGTTCCCTCACGCACACTTGTTTGTCAGAGGACTTCAAAACAGTGAGCAGAGATCAGCTCAGCACTGCCAGCTGTCTCATGGGCTGCGCCTCTTTGTTTCAGGTGGGACCCTGAGGTTACTCACACTGAGGCAGCTCAGCCCCTGCTCAGCTCCCGTGCCACAGGGAGGGCAGGAATCCTGCCAGGAGGAGCACTTGGGTCCTCGCTCCTACCCACCCCTGGTGGACGCCAGCTGCCTGCACTGCCCGCAGAGGTGAGCCTGGTCCCCGCCCAGGAGAATGACGGGTTAAAAACCCATAGGACGGTTCAATCCAAGGCATTGCTTTGCTGTGGCCTGTGCGCCATTGTATGTTGGAACACATGCTGGTAGGAGACAAAGAGGACACACGTTTATTTTCAAGCGTAGGACTTCGGAACCACTTGGGAAGAATATTCTTGATTGAGAACCAAAACATTCCATGATGCTTAACAAACCTGCAAATTGAAAAATCAGCATCGGCCCGTGCAGCCCGGAGGCAGGAGAAGGACCTATATACCCTGAAACGTTTTTTTTCTCTCTCCAAATATTCCTTAAATGATATTTGTGTGCATTTGCAAAATTACTGCTTTCTGAATCAAAGTGGCAAGCTATTTGCCTCTGAGAACATGTGTTGTGCCGTCAGACAATACCTCAGCCCTGGGCCGCCCGCGACATACCCGGCCGCATCGCATAATGGACAGTCCTGCGAAGGCGCCGCAGCTCAGTCAATGCCTCTGTAATAATATTTTAAAATAAATGATATGCATCATTAAATCACCGAGGATGACTAACTCAATTTTAGAAAACCCACAACTCCAGCAATCATAGTTACAGCTCTGATTTGAATATTTTCCCTTTCACCTGAGCAGCCAGTGGGAGCCAGCCGAGCAGGCAGGCAACCCGGCTGTACTCTCAGAGGGGCAGGAAGGAACCTGTGATTATGTAGTTACAGTAACGTCGGCGAGAAGCCTCCTGTCCGCCTGGGCTTTTTAGGCTTCTCCTTCCTCCCTTCTTGACTTCTTATTTACATATCACAGGCATCCTCTTTGTAAAGTTATTTTAAATAATTTATTAGATTGATCTTTTTAAAATTCTACCCTGGCTAAATGTCATAAGGAAGAAGAAGGAAAAAAAAAAAGTCTTCGAAACTTATATAAAGGTTTCTACTGGAGCAGGCCGGTTACCTGCTTCACTGCTGATATTCTAAAAATACCTCCATGTCCGTACTATTATCCATTCTTCACGTCCAATTGCTCTGTTATGGTAATAGTCAGAAGCACACCATGCAGTAATTACTTACAGCTGACTGGAGAAAAGAATATTCAACTCCCCCACTGTTCCACTAGAAGGTCTTTATGCACTATTAACTCATTCCTGTTTATTAATACTCTACTGGTAATTCAGACTGCTGCCTCTTAGGTTTGTAATAGGAGGACTATTAAACAGCAATTACTGACCATATGGGTTGGCGAATATTTGTTGTTGTTTTTTGGTGGGCTTCTTTTCCCCCCTTCCTTCCAACTTGTTCTTTAAGAAGCCATATTACAACATGGTAAACGTAACATCACATCTGCATGAGATTAACAAGCCTGGCAGTATTTCTCCCTTAGAAAATGTGAATTTATTCCCAGATTATCATTGCTGCCTTAGGAAAAGGAGGTCATGGGAGAAATAAGAAAATGGGGAAGATTGTTCACATGTGGGTAGCCCCCTCCTTTGAAAGATAGTTTGGCTCTTGTGTTCCCTTAGCCACTCAGTAGGCTCTTTCCTCTTACTGCCTTTGAGAGGGCACTCACCCACCCGCCACCACCCTGGACTTCTGAAAAATAAGCAGTCTTATTGAGGAATCCCAATATAATATCAGTTTTTTCATTTCAAGTTTCCTCAAACATGTGGAGATGGACACTTTAAAACTTAACATTTAACAGTCTTATTGAGGAATCCCAATATAATATCAGTTTTTCCATTTCAAGTTTCCTCAAACATGTGGAGATGGTCACTTTAAAACTTAACATTTAAGTCCTAACCAGTTTGGCTCAGTGGATAGAGCATCGGCCTGTGGACTCAATCGTCGCAGGTTCAATTCTGATCAAGGGCATGTACCTTGGTTGCGGGCACATACCCAATAGGGAGTGTGCAGGAGGCAGCTGAATGTTGTTTCTCTCTCATCAATGTTTCTAACTCTCTATCCCTCTCCCTTCCTCTCTGTAAAAAATCAATAAAAATATTTTTTAAAAAACAAAAAACTTAACATTTAATAAATTTGCCTCCCAAAGAGCAAGTATTTGAAACCTGGGAGATGGTGAAAAACTCCTTTAGGGAGAGGGATGGCTTGAGTAATGGGTTCAAGTGAGACAAGCAGGTGGTAAATGATAATTACATTAATAACTAGAGGCCTGGTGCACAAAATTCGTGCACTCGGGGGGTCTCTCAGCCCAGCCTGCGCCCTCTCGCAGTTCAGGAGCCCTCGGGGGATGTCTGACTGCTGCTTAGGCCCTTCCCCACAGGGAGTGGGCCTAAGTTGGCAGTCAGACATCTTTATTATGCTGCAGAGGTGGGAGAGGCTCCTGCAATTGCCACTGTGTTTGCCAGCTATGAGCCCGGCTTCTGGCTGAGCGGCACTCCCCCTGTGGGGGAGCATCTGCCCGCTGGTGGTCAGTGCGTGTAATAGCGACCGGTCATTTTGCTGCTCGGTCGATTTGCATATTAGTCCTGGCTTCTGGCTGAGCAGCACTCCCCCTGTGGGGGAGCGTCTGCCCGCTGGTGGTCAGTGCGTGTAATAGCGACTGGTCATTTCGCTGTTTGGTCGATTTGCATATTAGCCTTTTATTATACAGGATAATGTGTGGCTCTCACACAGGTAGGGAGCACTAAGCATGTGGCAAGCATTAGAAACTTGTAGAAATGTGCCTTTGAGATAAATATGAACCCAGGAACTGGAAATCCATTGGAAGATTATTGGTTAAGATCCAGAAGAGGTAAGTCACTTGACCAGCAACCTCCACCAAGGAGGTGGCAGAGGTGGGTGTCTGGGCTCTCTGACATAGCCAACTTCCACCCCAAAGCAACTGGTTCTTGGGGCTTATCTTCTACTTTCTTCCTTTTCCCTTAAGAAATCATTCTCTCTTTGTGTCCAAATCCTTTTAGCCCTTCAACAGACAGGTCAAACCTCTGACAACTCCAGCTTGCCTCAATCTCACCCTTTCCATCCTGCCAAGCAAATTTAATGTTTACCTTTGGCAGGTGGTTGTAGCTAATTTAGCACTCTTCCTTTGTTACCTGCTGGTGTTGTGTGGGGAAGGTTTTTCTCTCAGATATACTCCAAATCCTTGAAGACAGGAATCCTATTTTTAAACTTTTCTTCTATTTATTCTTGCACCTAGTTTGGTAATGGATGTTCAATTGGTGATAAAGGTTGGAAGAATTCAATGGAAACTTATAAGGAAAAAAAGGCCATTGGTCCCTAAGTTTTCTTATTCTATGGAGATACAGGGCTACAGTTTTGGGGTTAAGTGTGGAAAAACAAAAACAAACCAAAAATAAACAATAACAACAAGATAATAAATCTCAACCGAAAAGCGGAACATGACCAAGCCAATGGATAGCATATAATTGATGTCCAATGAATGAATTGAAATAAACTTGCTAAATCAGAGCCTCATAAGATCCCAGATCTTTGTCAGGGCGGGTCTAAGCCATAGGGAAAATTGCAAGTAATTTATTTCATTGGTGACTTTCTGATTTGAACTAGAATCCTAGGTAGCTTTATGGCCTAGAGGACCTGTAAGGGAAGGAGGGGCTTCTCCCAGAATTTCTGTGGTGGGAACCTTCACCAATGTGATTGACCCTAGACAGGTCAGGCCTACCTGGTGTGATCAGAAATGCACCATCAGGCCCAGCCTGCCCTAAATGTCTTATAGATAGAAGGGCTCCGTAGGCACCTTAGAGATGAGTTACACCAGTGGATTCCCGACATAATTTTGTTTGTTTGTATTACTGTTACTTTAAAACAGAATTTATTTTTATTTTTCTGATTAAGTATTATGCAAGATACTGATGCAGATTAAACTAGAACAGTTCTGGTTGAAGTCAGGTTGGGAGGTGTGGACGTCCAACCTGATATCTCCACTGATAAAGCCACAGAGGCCCCTCTCAGAGACCCCCAGTGTTCCTTGGATGGAAAGCATTTTTTTATTCTAACCCCCTTTTGACACAAATGTGTAGACTGACTGCATAATCTCAAATCCACATGGTTAACTAATAGCAGAAATGTTCCTGGAATCCAATGTCTTGGTTAACTAGCCAAGTTTTTTTGTTTGTTTTGTTTTCTGTACTATCTACCTGAGCTAGTGGATTAAGTCCTTGTCACCAACAGGCCACTTTACTAGGTACATATGTAACACTGGAGGACAGGCCATTGGTCCTCTCTTAACAGAGAGCAGAGACAAGTTTAAAGTCAGATGAGTCAAGTGAGTGAGCAAAAGCTCTGGACTAAGGAGGGATGGCTACTTGAGGATCCTAATGACAAAGCAAATGTGGGATGGGGGTGGTTCATTTCACCTTGGCCACTCCCATACTTTCATGGTTGAAGTCTCAGCACTGGCTTCAGCTCAACTTGGTTGTCCCCTACTTACCTGATCCCATGTTTACACCAATGTTAATCCTGCCTGAGCAGATCTTCCACAGAACTTTTTATGATGCTGGAAATTACGCTTCTCCTAATCACAGCATAATATAGATTATACTATAATCTTTTATGGCACTTAAAATAATATGTGTGTGGGGGGGAGTCCACATTGAAGATTATCCTTTTATTTTTTCACTAACAGAGGCAACAGGATGTAGAAAAAATATGGGATCTGTGTCAAGGGATCTGCATTCTAGACCACATCTTTTCACCAATTAGCTGTGTGTCTTGAGGACATATTATTTAACCTCTCTGTACCCCCATAGCCTCATCCGTAAAATCATGCCCTCTGGCTTAGATTTGCTTCTGAAATACATTTGGCTTTACTGGGCCATCACAAAAATTTAATGCTCTCTATAAGGTAACTCTGAGTTAATTTTATTAAAATAAAGCAAATGATTATAAGTCATATTATGAATAAAATGCTCATATATGCCAAGAATTTTAAATTAGGCTTCCTGACAAAAACATTTATTTCTGATATCAGTGAAAACAGGAGATGAGTCAGTAAAGATGATACTAAGCCTTGTAAATATCATCCAACTGTGACTGGAACTGGGGAACTTTCCCCTTGGGTGAGAACATCTGGGCAGTCTGTTGGCTTCATTTCAGGCATTTGATTATTCAATACATACTTGCTTTGTTCCTTCCATATCTCATTATTCAATTAATAAACACATCTTAAGTTGCTACCAATGATTCATTCAATAAATGTTATTCAATGTATTTTTAAGGAGGAACCTGCTACATATATAACAATGCTTTGATGGTTGATAATAATATCAATAAAAAGATAAGTCCCTGACTGTAAAGAAGTAGTAATCTCATTCAGGAAGGAAAATGTATATGGTAAAAAGATAAATAATTTTATATGACAGTGAATGCTTAGGGTCCAAGAGAAGCATCAAGGGGGAGTAATTATATATGGGCTAAGATGGACAGGAAGCGTTCAGGAATGGCTTCAGTTGCTTCTTGACACATGATAGATAATATCAGGGCAGGTGAAGAGGATGAGAGAGGCCACTTCAGGTGGGGAAACAGTATGTGCACAAGCAGTCAATTGGATGCAATTAAGAAATGTGTGTGTTTTTATTGGTGAAATCACAGAGAACGCTAAAGGACCAACACAGAAAGAAAAATGAGACTGCAGAAAAGCCACTGGAAGAGCAAGTGAGAACAAAAGAGAGGTTGTCAAACATCAGAAAACATGATGGAAGCAGCAGAGCTTGGAGGACCCATGACAAAGGAAGAGACCAGACCCATGCTTCATTTTCTCTTGCTCTGGAGACTGTGGACCTGAAGGTAGTAGAGGGTGCAAAGGAAATATCTGGGGGGAGGATACTAGAGAAAGAGAAGAGTAAAAAGAGTAAAAAAAAAAAAAAAAAAAAGAAACAAAACAAAACAGGGAGAAGACAGAGGGAGAGAATCAGATAAGACAGGGACCCAATACCACGTAGAACCACCCTATTTCTGAGTTTTTCTCCCTTCTACTCTTGAGTTTCGTCCTCCTCCCAAAATGCAGGGAATTGTCTTCATTTTTGAGGGCATCCCATTTCTGATGATGCTGAAACATTTTATAGGCAGGAAAAGTGACATAGAGAGGTTATATAACTTACTCAAAGTCACACAGCTTTTCATGGACAAAGTAGGTAAAAATGAAAATGTGCAAGCTTGACTAGCTTTTTATTTTCCTTCCTCCTTTTTAAAATATATTTTTATTGATTTAGGAGAGGAAGGGAGAGGGAGAGAGAGATAGAAACATCAATGATG